GTTCTCTAGCTTTCAGCTTTCAGAAAATAGGTTTAAGCAGTAGGCAAGACGATTTTAAAAGTTTTTAATTTCGATTCAAATGCATAGCGTGGGAATACGAGAAAAATATAAAAATATCATTCTTGTGCGCTCTGTCAATTCGTTTAAATTCAAAATGCTTCGGATTCCGACTCGTTGGATTTAGTAATTACATCTGTTGACTCTTTTAAAAGCTTTTGCTTAAGATTTTCAAACATTTTTCAAACTAAATATTTAAGGAAAGACATATACTTTTTATATACAACTGTGACGTTTTAGACCTAAAAAGAAGTTCAGTAAATTTTATTTGTGAAAAATATTTAGGAAAACACTTATGGAACATAGGGAATAAAAGTTTTTTTCTGTATGTCTTTCAGGCCATCAGAAAAATTTTTAAAAACTTGAAGTTTAGATATTATTCCTTTTACTGCTAAGTATATATTACGTGATTACTTTTACTGCAGATAATAACTAAATCATCTCACTTTTTCCTATATAATCAATAGCAAAGATTTCAGAAATTTGACTGCGAATTATACTTATTTTCTGCACAGATTTTTATCATTAAATACTTGAGCATTGTAAAATCTCTATTAGTATTTTGCTATAATTCAATTTTGTAAATTTTTAACAAAAATGTTTCGTTTTAATACAGCCTTGAAATTCGATTGTCGATTAACAATGAACATATGATTTATTAAATAAATGTTTAATTTTAGATGCTAAAACATATATTTGAAAGGAGAATGACAAATAAATGTTTAGCGCAAGAAATTTCAATATTTATTAAAAGAGAGGATAAAGATCATTGGATCCTCCCTTTTATCTTAAACTGTTGCACAATAGTTTAAGAAGCGGATCATAAATTTTGAATTCTGTTAACTAATTTAGACTAGAATAAGGGTTTCAGCCGAGAAAGAATTCCTCCTCAATGGGAAAATTTCATGATCTTAGGATAGAAGAGTGTGATGCTAGATTAGACTCAAACTGCAACGAAACGCTTATATTGTAAAACAATTAAAGTGAAAGTGATATCAGTTTACTCAAATAAGCTAAACTAAACTAAGTATCTGGTAAAATTAAGAAAAAAAGGTTTCCCTCTTTATATATTATAAAAATCTGATACTAATTTAATTACTAATGAGCAATTAAATACTACATATTTATTAAATATCATAAACTTTAATTTTAGTTATACTTTTACAGTTTGCAATTTTTTACGTATTATTTAGGAATGCGAAACTTGTAATTAAGCGAACTGCATCTACGAAAGTAGAAAACTAAATTTTCTAACAAATTCCTGCAAACTTACCAAACAATGATAGAAAACAATAATTACTATGACATCTCAACTCGCTTTTTGTAAAATGTCGTTTGTTTGCCGACAGAATTGTCAATGCAGTTAATTTAATTCAGTGAAATTTTTATCATAAATTCGAAAACTGAAAAAAGAATACAAATAAAGTTATGCTATAAACAAGAAAAACGGGTTATTATTTTCAAACAGTTGATGTAAAACATAGTATTATCCTTTTGATTCTGAGATAAAATGGCATTCACTTGCTTAGATTGGACAAAATGCCCAACACTATTCCAGAAACTTGGATTTTAGAAATATAGAGTAAAAACTACGTCACTGTGTCTTTTTTTTTTTTTTTTTTTTTTAATTGGAGAGGCGTATATCAAAAGGAGTTTGCTTTGTTTCTGACGAAGTGTACTCCTTATTTTGTAAAGAAGTAATAGTTTCCAGCAAAGTAAAGTGTCAAAAATTTTTAGTAACCAGATTTGGTTATGCAAACTTCTTCTCTTCCCTAAAATGAAATTTCACATTGATGATTATTAATTTAATAACAAAGAAGGGATTCAGATACCAAATACCTAAACCAAAGTCATAAATATCACTTCAAAAGATGAGTTCTGCGGTGGAATAAAGTAGTTATATGAATGTGTCAATAACTGCATAAACTTGGTACACATCGAAATCTAAGAAATAAAAATATTGTTTCTTCACTTTTTGATTTTGTAAGAACTTAATCCTAAAACTTGTTTGCACTGTTTATATTAAAAATAATATAAACAATTTTGGGAATGATACTCTGTTATATGGAAGGGAAGATACAGATAGAAGTGGGAGAGACACCAGAAGATCACCATTTGTCCTACAGAGGAAGCATTTGTCCCGCTTTATTAACTGTGCATTTCCACACCCGTTTTGAGAAAGCACATCTCGGGGGGGGAGGTGATAAAAGTATCTCCCATCGCCTTTCTCTTACCATCAACCTCTCAAGAAGACTTTCAACTCGCAGTGTATTTAAAGTGCCCCCTTGCCGCACAGACACTATATGCTTATAATCATCCATGGCTTCTCCGGGATTCGAACCCAAGCTGATCGATAGAACAACCAGCGACACTAACCACTATAACGGCTTAGCGGCTATGGAGGGAAGGGAGAAGGGCACAATATAAGTTGAGAATTTGAGAGTTACAAATTTTTAGTTGCGCACGTCTCTTCCACTAAAGCTCTCCTGTAGCCTTTATTTTCATAACCGTTCGTGGTAAACATATGCTTCTGATCACGGAAATGTTTTAAACCATGCCAACATTCATGTTTCACATTTTTAAATTAAAGAAAAATAATTATGAACTTTTTACACCGCCTTCTGAGTCGTATACTTGCATTTAGGAATTGTAAATTAAATAGTGAAATAATAGCTGCCAATTTAAAACTTTCCCTAGCATATCCTTTCATAAGATATCCAGCTAGTAAAAATAACATTACGTTATTTGTAAAATATGATGAATTTCGAAATTTTTACCCAAAAATATACACTGATGGCTCTGCATCAACAACGGAAAAGGATGTGGAATTAAAATATGTTACAACGATATAGAATCATGAAATTTTAAATACCGACTTTACAAAGGAAACAATGTTTTCTGGTCAGAAGCAGTCGAGTAAATTATAATCAAACATTTCTTAAATACTTGTATTCATACCGACTTCTTAATTGCAAAGCATGCCATTGCTAATACTACAAGCAATAAATCTTCCTTTACTCAAGAAATTCTAGATAACGCCCAAAATAAACATTTTTACATAATAGGGACAAAAGCTTATAATGAACACAAATGCAATAAGGAGGCGGCTGATCATATTTTTAGCCAAAGCCAAGGTTTATCTGCTACAAAAATGTATATTCCATGGCCAGTTTTACACCCAAAATCAAAATTACGAATTGCTAGTAACATCTATAACAAAAATTATGAGATACCACCAACACAGGGCGAAGAACATACAACCTATTGTCCAAAATCGACTGTTCTTTTCCGTATACTGCCAATCAAATCACATGGTTCATCACTGGATATGGCCTTTCCTACGCATTTTCATCTACAAATTCTTGTGAAAAAAAAAGGGGGCGAATCAGAACACTACATATTTTCATGTCCATTAATAACTTCATTACATCTAAAACAAAACCCAGCTTAGAGCGGGAACTTGTATCTTTTTTTACGATTTGCAATAAAAAAAAAACATACAAGAAACAAAATTGCAAAAATTATGGATTTTGTAGCTGCTAGAGGCCAAAAACTTTGCAGAGCAAGTTATTTACCGTGAGTTAATTATCATGAACGCACGTGACTGCTAACAATTTCTTATGACTAAATTATATGAAACTGAATGCTACATGAATATGTTGTCACCCGGCTGTTTAAAGGATGTTGGTCATCTGGCTACGTAGTATCTGAGGTCAATACCCAGTCACTTATAGTAAGTATTGGGTACCTTTGCATTTATACCTACCTACCTACTTGCGTTTAGGAAAGTATCATTGTAAAAAATAAAACACAACATTTTGACTCCATTATGAAGCAAACTGACAGAGGTATTTCGTTTCGAATTTACGATATATGACGTCATTTTCAACATGCCCTGAGGTAGTCGGTTAATAAATTAACTAAAAAATTCAAGGTTAATTTTCACCTTAAGTATTGTTGAATGATATTCTTTTAGGACTTGCAAGTGTGTTACATTCTTTAATTTACAGTTTTATTACCACTAATATACGGAAAGAATTTTCGCATAAGGAATTTATTAAGTTCTAAATATATGTTATTAATACGCTCATGAAGTTTCAGTTACTTTCATAATCCAATAATCGTATAAAAAATCAGAAACTAGAAATATTCCTAATTTTTAAAATTATACAAAGAATGTTACAAGTTGGCTATGTACTAATCCTGAGGTTGTCTAATGTTTTCTGTAACAACACTTCTGTAAAATTATGTGAATAAAGTCAATACTTTTCCATGCGTACATAGAGTATCTCATGTATATATGTATGTACAACATATACATGTAACTATCAGTTTAATATAAAATGAATTTCGCTGATTTTATTTATCTAATCATCATTATCTCTTACGAACATGGATAAAGTAAAAATAGATTCGTAATAATGATAAATTCACATTTAATAAGGAAACAAAGTAAAAATGTTTATCCATCAAGAAATAAGGCAAGATTTAAATAGAAACAGCTTCAATAACTTGTCAGAAAACTGAGATTAAATTCAATGAGCAAAGAAGGTAATTAGAAACATGAGCACGAGCTCTACAAATCAGATAAAACACGAGATAACGATTTTAAAAGCGCACTAGTGAGAGCACAAAAGCTAAGATAGCAGCTCTTAGAATTCACTGAAACAGGGCAAAGTTCCGATGTGGTTGTCACGGAGTAAGAAAAATTTTGAGAAACACCCCGATTAAGGCTCCTAGAACTTAATTTGTCACCCTTAAACACGCAGGTAACGTTGATTGCGCGAAGATAAGAAGAAAAGTGGAGTTTCAAACAACTGATACAAAGTTTAGAACAACATGGCCATTCCATTACGCAGCAGAAAAGAGGAAATAAAAAAACCGCTTCCAGGCTAATTTTGCACAGCGATAACGCCGACGTTTTCAGGTCATCCTGCCTTCTAAGTACGCGATAACTTTGTTACTCCAGGCATTAAAATTCAGCCTAAACACTTGCCATTCAAATAAAGAGCAGAGATTCCCGAATAGTGCATTCAACGTTCATTCTTTACTTAGAGATTGCTGCTTGATTTAAATTTGGCTTATCGGATGTTGATAAAGTTCCATTTGGTGATTAAGGTAAACTATACTCATTACCTCCATAACATAGAAGTAAATGTTTAATTCGAATGTGCTTTGAAGCTATGTGACTGTAATATTTGCAGCAGATTAAGCTATTGGTTTGATTGTTATGCATGAACTATAAGAGAAATAATTTTATCCAAAAATTATTAAGGGAAGTGTTCCTGCATGTGCGATACTTGTGGGAGAAAGTTCTAAAGGCACACATTGAATAAATCAGATTCATAGAGAAGAATTATGAGCTACATGATAAAAAGCCATTCAGAGGAAAAAGAAATTAATACCTTTGTTGTTATTATTATAGCATCTTTATAGCATTGTTGACTGAACACGCAATCCGCAAGAAACTCGTTATAGCGTTAATGGGAAAAAATGTGTAATCGTCATTAATTAAGTGAAACATTTAGGATTAATAAAGTCAATATTGTTAATAAATATAATAAATTAATGTATAATAAATATAATAATGCATAATAAAGTCCATAAACAGCAATATTCGAAATTTTCAGCTCAGAAAAGTTAGATTTAATGACATACAATAATCAGCAGGATCCATGTGGCTGTATTTTTTTAACAGAAAATCTATTTTCTGGACTCCTTTTATAATATTAAAAAGTACCAAACTATTTTTACAAAAATTTAGTAGTAGAAAGTAGAATTCTGTAGTCTACAATGCATAATTCTCACCGTACATGTTATCATACATTATAAGATAAATATACTGGAGGAAATATATTGTTTAAGCGTCGGCTCTCAACTAATGGTGCTAGAGGCGATTTAGAGACGTAATTAATTATTCCATTCTGACGCCATTGGTGCCTTCAGACAGTTAAACAATACCACTCAAATGCAGCGAATGATTAGAAGCTCTTTTAGGTATTACACATACATTATCTATAACTGTTTTTATATAAAGACGTCACTTAAATCACACCAATATTATTAGCATTTGTTGTTTGTTAACTAAAATAACACGTCGAAGAACAAATGTTGGAACCATCTTTTTCAACTGCAGAATGAAAATGATGAAGGAGAAGCGTATGCTCACTCGATAGCAATAAATAGAGAACGTTTCTGTTAAAGAAAGAAACAAAGTCACTTGCGCCATCTATTGACAAAGTTGAAAACAAATGTGAAATAATTCCTTAATGATCCCACTTCTAATCCATCTTTACTGCTGATTCGAACAATTTATGTTCAATCTCCATCAAAACAAACTATTTATTATTGTTTTCTACTAAAACGGACCTGCCAGTGGGGGAGTGGATAAGACGGCTGAACAGTGGTAGTTCGATCCCCGTCCGGCTGTATGAGCGTTTTGTGCTTTTTCTTAGCTGTAACATGAATACGAGCCAAATTCGATTAAAAAATTCATCCTCAAAGGAATGCATCTCTTTAGGCATACAGGCATCATAGTTTCGGCTTAATAAATTAAGCAATGAATAACCAGTTTGCTCAAAGGGAATCATCGGAGATACAAGTTAACGATTGTGGCCTTGCCTCCTATAACTTCCCGCCTGCGATAAGAATGACGAAAATGTGCGAAAATATGGTTCTTTGCACACAGTAAGAATGTTTTAGCTTTGAATATCTTAGCGATAAACCAAAGCTTCCAGTGATATAAGTTTTCAAGATTTTATAAAAGATTTTCAAAGATCATGAAATCAGTGGAAGTAGATTCTTCCCGTCTTAGCTACTCAGTAACTTTTAATGAATATATTTTAATTGTTTTTCTAAATCGCACTTAAAATTAGCATCAAGGAGGATTAGTTAAATTAATTTAATACACGTAAGAATCATTAACAGGCAGTAATATGATTTGCAAAGCCCGGAAGCAAAGATGATATCTTCAGTAACAGTGAAATAAGATTTATCCGCTAGCTGGCATGAGGTCAAGTCCATAACGCAATGTTTAAACGGCTCGAAATAATTGGCACCATTTTGTAAACAGTTAAGTCAAACGCAATTCGCTGATCACAACGCCGAAATTCATTCATAGTGTTACTTTTATACACTTCAAATTTGAGGTGGTCTCACAATGCTTATCAGCAAAGTTTAGAGACACTAAACATTATCTCTAAGCCTTTAAATATGAAGTATTCGAATTTAAAAACACTATTTCAATATGCAGAGCTAGGTTATAATGAAATAAATATGTTTGGGGCAATAATATCTCTAATTTAATATAGTTATTTGAAAATTAATTAACAAATATGCAGTTCATATTAATGAAACAAGGAAGAGAAGTGTTACAGGAAGGGAACAAGCACACCGTAAAAATTTTAAAATGCTAAAGATTACATGTCATTTATTCGCTACCAGATTTAGAAAGATAAATATTAATCTGAAGATCTGAAAGGTTAATATATAGTTCTGAGTCTTACAACTAGAAGGCCAAAGGGTAATGCAACTGACTTGAAAAGGTAATCAATATAAGCGATTCCGTAAGACTTTCTTGCGAATTTATTTTGATGTCACCCAGCTTATCGGAAAATGTGAAAGCTAAGATATAAAGGAAAGGTATGTTATAATTTTGAAATGCTTAGGATAAAACGTTATCTTATGTCAAAAGTACTTCGACACCTATCCAGATAAAAGTGATTAATAAAATATTATTCATTGAAACTGGTAAAATAACGTCGCAGGAAATACATTATTACTCCAAAATACAATGTTAAAATAACTGTGATTTAACTGCTGTAATATAAGAATATCTTAATATAAAAATAATGTTAAATTTTAAAATTAGGCTACAAAGAAAATTTAATTGACATGGATTTTAAATGATAAAGCTTTCGATTCGAGGACGATCTGACATAGTTTGTCCCTCTTTCACAGAAGCTAAGGTGGGAAGACTAACAATATACTTACTGAAAAATCAATGGATGGGGCAGTAAGAAAACAGCGTAGGAACATCTGTTGAAAAAACAATCAGTACTGAAATGGGAAAGATCTAAGATGATAAAGTTTTAGCAGCTTTGGAAGAATTAGATCATAATAATGTCATAAACTAAAGCGTAATTTTTTTTGTGTGAATACGAAAGGCTTCAAGAATATATAGTTCACCAAATAAAGATCCTTTTTTGGATAAATTTCTGAAAAACGAACCCAAAATTCTGTTTAACTAACTAGTTACAATTAGTTACCGAAGATTTGCTTATTTCGCGTTTTTGAATATTGGATTCGTTTGTATACACAGGGTGAATCCGAACAAATAGACAAAACTTTAGGGGATGATAGAAGACAGCTATACGAGCAATATTCGTCATAGAATATATGGTTGAAACGCAAGCAAAAGTTAAATGGTAGTTTTCCACTGTTCCCACCTGTGGGATTGATGCACATTTGCGAAGACACCAGGCATTTCATCATCAGCAACAACGGCGATCCTGGAGACTAGATCCATACTGGTTTCAATGGGATTCCACTTGTAGATTAGGCTTTTCATATTACATATTTTTGACCCACAGGAAAAAAATCCAAACATGAGAGATCCGATGATCTTAGTGGCCAAGCTATGGGACCACCTCGACTAATCCATCGCCCTGGGAATTTCGTGGTTCGTATAACCTGCAATCCACAGTAGAAAATGCCGTTGGGTGCGAGGACCGACCCCTTTTATACCCTTTATTTACAATGCCACCTAGCGGCTCGCCGTTTGCGTTGCGTCCATACATTCTGTGACGAATATTGCTCGTATTAGCTGCCTTATATCACCCCCCCCCAAAGTTTTCCCTTCTCGTTCAGATTCAACCTGTATAGGATATGAAAATAGTGTGCGTTCTCTCAAGCAAACCTTAACGTGCTTTTAGTTTAGACGACGTATGTCGAACCATACTTAAAAGAAATTCCATAAATTCCCCAGAATAATTCTCATTTAAGACATAAAAAGCTAAAACACAGTGTTCAGATATGTGCAGAAAAGAAAACAGAATAGCACACATTAAAAAAAAAAACTTTGTAAACAAACATAGAATAAGCAAACAACCACATTTTCATTCTTGCGCTCCAATAGTAATGTAAATGAATTAATGAATAAATCATACTCGTATTAAGTGCAGAGATTGAAAAGCATCACAAGTGGGTTAAAAGGAAGAAACCGTTAAAAGTACAGATTATATTGATGAAGTGCTAAACCAAATTTATAATCAGGTAAACAAATACTGCAGATAGGAGAAATAAGTTAAAATAATGTTTGTTGCGAGTAAATTAGATTACAACCATTTCGCAGACGTGTTACCAAAAATAATCGAATAATGTCATATACAAATAAATATCCAAGAGACGTTACAAACGCTACTCAGTTACTACCTTCTGCATATCGATGTTCATTTTAAAGCTTAGACCAACAGAATTTCTTTTAATAGTGATCAGAATGTGATCACTTTACTATTTTCTCTAGCTTGTTAGAGCATGTAGTTACTCGAAAGTAATATGCACTAAAACTGGCGTAGATTTGAACATAATGCTGTCGGTTTTGAGGGCATTATGTCTCTTTTCGTCAGGAAGCTAGAACGTTTTGCAAAGGTTGGACAAGCGCAACCATTTTATACAGAAGCCAATGGATAGAGAAAAATAAAAACACACTCGGAATACAAAATGGCACTAATTTTAGTTAGTTTGAAAATTGTATTACTCTAGTTCGTTGAAGTTTCATTGCTATTTTTCTCGAAATATAATACCTTCTTCCATTCTTCCACTGACTGCTTTCCATATAATGGCTGTTGCTTCTCTCATGTTTGCAAAATTTTTTCACGCTGAATAAAACAGACCTTTGTCTGAATCTCCTCGAAGCTGATAGATTTTTATTCAAAATCTGCGCCAATCTACGTTAAAATTCTTCACTGGCGTACTTCTTTTTCTTTTTTGAATGTGTGCAAATTTTAAAGATGAGATATAGGCTGAACTGTGATTATCTTAAGCAAATGACAACTGCTTTGCCATTTGTATGAAACTATCAACAATTCTTCAAACATTTAATTAAGTTCTTTAGTCTA